ATTTTTGCCCAAGAAACCATAGATCAAAAATAAATTTCGAGCCAGCGATTTTTTCTATCAAGTTTTTTTTTTCAAAAAGTGGACCACCTGTTGAAACAGCTGTATTGAAAACTAGCCTAAATGTGTGTCTGGGGTTTTTTGGGGTCGATGAATACATTTCTGGCATTAATTTTTTCTTTTGAGCGCCGCCAGAGGGTACGTTTTTTATTTTAACGCATTTTTTCCGAAAATCGGCAACAATGTGGCAAAAATCCACGAAATTTGACTTTCTCATAATGCAATTTCAATTTTTAAATAGCCTAAAATGTTCAGCCTTGAAAATTATTATTATTTTTTTATTTTACACATTAAATGTAAACATACACACACTTTGGCTAGTTTTTAATACAGCTGTTTTAACAGGTGAGCCACTTTTCGGCAAAAAAACTAGATAGAAAAAATCGCTGCCTGGAAATTCATTTAAGACCTATGGCTTCTTGGGCAAAAATGCTTGAAGTGACGCAAATAATCATAACCGCGATGTGCCTATGTTAATTTTTTTGGGGCCCTACAAATCGACCCGCCCTAATATACATATAAATATTTTTTTTTTTTGAAATTAGCCTTTTTTGCCACTTTACGTCACTTCCAACATTTTTTTTCTCAAAAAGAGGACGAGTTAGAAAAATTTTGTAAATGCACTTTAAAAAGGCATCAAAAAAATCTATAAGATGAGGTAGGGCCCCCCGTTTTTGAGATAAAGTACGACCAAATTTTGTTGACCGTGTTACTTATGAAAATATTGTTCATTCTATAACGTCACTGCACACGAATAAAGGCGCGCTGGTGTTTTGACGGCGAAAAAATAGGAGTAAGAAATTGTTTATGAAAAAAGGCGCATTTTAACGCGTCTTTCTTCGCCGTCAACTATGTTAAGAGTCTATCTTCGCTGAAGTTTTTTTATGCGTCTTTTTTCGTGGTCAACTTTTGAGCTCGCGCCTTTATTCGTGTCTAGTGACGATAATATAAACCATACACTTTATATAAAGTTCACAAAAATTAAAAAAAAAAAATTTATCAAAATTGCATAATTTTTATTTAGAATTTCCAGAAAAGTGCAATTGCAAATCGCTAAAAATTACCGTATAATTTTTAAACTTTTTTTGAGAGTGTTTTGAGTTTTCTTCCTCACAACGCATGATCAAAGTTTTTTTTTATATGAAAGAAAATCAACGGAAGTTTTTAGCGCCTTTTGAAACCTGAACTTCATTAGACTTTATTAGAAATTGAATGGGCTACAAAACTGCAAACTCGAAAATTGTCCAGAAACTCTGAATAAAATTTTTTAAATTTTGATGAACATTTTTTTAATATTTGTGAACTTCATATAAAGTTTGAAACTTTGATTTACTATATGGTTTATATTATAGAATGAACAATATTTTCATAATAATTATTTATAATTAATGGAAAAAATTGTTCATGAAAATAATTGTGAATATTATATGATTACAAAGGGGTACACTTTAGTTTGACGCTCACAATATGTGTATGTATGTACACCTGCATGCATTATTAAACAATGTAAGGTCTGCTTTAGCTATATAAACTCTTTTGACAATGAATTTTCTGCTTGAAATTATTCGGTGGCTTTTCAGTCTCAAAATGCGCACAAAAGAGAGGTATGTAGCATTTCAGGTTTTGTTTGTTTTTCATTTTAGCCCCACCGGTGTTAATGAGTGAGCCAGCTAGTAAATATAAACGATACAGCAATGCGCAAAATAGCCTAGCAGACAATCGAATATACGTACACAACTGAAGTGCGAAAGAGAGATCTCCACATAACAGGTATACGCACAGGCAGACCTAGCTATTAATTAGAAAGAGACTGGAATATTATCGAATCGTAGAACTGCAAAACACGCAATTATCCGTCTCATTCGTAAACCACTGTGCTAAAACAGTCTGCTATTGTTTTTTATTCGGTGTAGTTTAAGGACATTTTGTTCGCAAAAATTACTAGTGAAATAAAAAAAAAACAAATAAAATAAATACAAATTTAAGCACAGAAATTCAAATTCTCATTCGCATCAATAAAGTTCAAAGATATTTATACTAAAAAGTCACCGTAATGATAGGAACGCGAAAACGCCGGCGCTCAGCGGAGCCTGGGCAGCAAGCGGAAGTAAATGAGGTGGCAATCGTTCAGCCATCTAACGCCGCAAACTTCGCCGCTGCAGTCCCAACGGCTGCGCCAGCTGAGACTGAATTTCCACACTGGTTGAATGAAATAAAAGTGGAATCATCAGACAGCGAAGCAGAATTTGTCAAAGAAGACGAAAGCACACTTGCCGATATCAAACCCGACATACACGAAATACAAAAATCATGGATTCGCAGCCAACAATCACCGCACGCGGAGGGAATGTCGACGCCGACGTCGCTGTTGGCGACATCAACACAGTCAGCAGCCGTTGCTGCGACGGCAGGGCTAGTGAATCTGAGTGGCGATTACGTGTTAGATATCGATAAACTTGTTGAAGATGTGTCGGCGCAGTCACTGAGAGAAGACTTTCAAGTTAAAGTTAAAGATGAAATTATCGACGAAGAGAAACGAGAATCATCAGACAAATTAAAACCGTTAACTTTAAACCGATCTGATTTTAATTTTGTTGCGGATGAGATAGATATGCAGGAGACTGATTCGGATGAAGATGGCTATTCCGATGTCGACCTTGACGATGATTACGAACCTTTAGAGAGTGAGTCGAACTGATTTAAGATTGGAAACATTTTTTACCTTTGATATTTATTTGTTAGGCGATGAGATCGAAGACTTGTACGACCCAGAATGGTTTAATAGGCTAACAATGCCAAGGAGATTGTTCCCAGACCAAAATTACCAAGGGATACTAAAAGGTGGTACCAGTAGGAATTTGCATACGTTCTACTTTTATCACATCCTTGAAGGACAAATCTTCTTTGAAAGGGTGGCTGAATGCTGCAACAAACGTGCCGAAAAAATTAAAAAAGGCTCGCAGAGGTGGAGCAACACATGCACCGAAGCTTTCACTTGGCAGGAGATTAGTATTTTTATCGGAATTTCCCTGCAAATGGGTTCAATGCAACTGCCAACATTGTCGGAATATTGGGAATGCCAGTCGCATCACGGTTTCAATGGGTTCTCTACAAAAATGACCTTGAATCGTTTTAAATTTCTTCTGGAAGCTTTGAACTTCGAATGCTTTCAAACTGAAAATTGTACATTCAATACCGAAGACATGGGGAATAGATTTGATGATTTGAAACCTCTTCTGAATTTTTTCAACAGTCGAATGGAATCCATATACAGCTGCGGTCAAACTATAGTCCTGAATGAACCTCTTATTTATTGGAAAGGCAAGCTTAACCCGGCAAACGAAATGAGTAAGAAGTTTCGTAGGAATGCAGTTATGCTACACCTTTTGACGAAACAATCCGGTATGGTACTCAAAATATTAGCAGATATGGAGGGTTCAGAACAAAAGCAGATTTCTCGTAACCCTAAGGCCCAGGTTGTTCAACGATTATCGAAAGCAATAGAATTGCTGAAGGAAAAGTTTGGAAGAGGTAACTACAATTAAATGTTATTTAAATTTTACATTGTATTTAATTTGCGACCTGTAGGTCATGTGGTTTTTACTTGCAAATATTACGGCAGCTACGCGCTTTGCTTGGAATTGGCTAAACTCGGAACCTATTGCTCGGGGTTTTTAGATAAAAATTGTTTTGGGAATAGCAAAGAATTGGTACTACAAAATTTAGAACAATATCAATTTGAAACCAGATATGCTGGCTATGTAATGATGGGCAAGAGTCGAAGACTCCGGAAAAATGTATATTTTTATAGTTCCGACTGTCTCGCTATTTACCGTAATGAAATGATCATGAGCCATCAGCTGAAATTAGTGAAAGAGATCAACTGGCAATTAGGCACTCCCGTGGAAATGCGTGCGGCTATGCTGGACTACCAATTACCTTTGGAACGCACGGAAATCAAGTGGGACAGACGGTTGATGATCTATGTCATACACCTGGTTTTACTCAACGCTTACTTACTCTATCAAAGCCATAATCAAAACAATCGGTCTACGAATAAACTGCCGATGTTTTTCAAACAGTTTCGGCAAGGAATTATTGCGTCGCTAGTACATCCAGATGAAAGTGGAAATATTGACAAGAAAAGTCCTGCAAATGAAAATCTGATAGATACTGCCACAACAATAAACAACTCAGAGTGCGATCCAAATCTGCATATACCGAGTCAACTGGATTTAAAAAAAGCAACACACCGTCCAATGGAAATACCATGTTCCAAGGGAAAATTAGTAAAGAAGCGTTGTAGAATTTGTTTTAAGACAGGTCTTTTGATTTTTTCACAATTTTGTTGTGCTGAATGCCCCGGCATGCCGGGACTGTGCGAAAAGCCTTGTTTCAAATTATGGCATGAATATATTGAATGAAAATGGCTACCGTGTGTGAAGAGTTGTGCAAGAGAGAGGATACAAATTAATAAATCGCTATAAATTATCTATTTGGTAAAAGTTTAAATTTTTTCAATTTAATACGCTAATTAGAGAAGGATCGTTTTAACGTAAGAAAAATCTTTGTTTACCAAAAAAAAAGCTGTTTCGATATTCACCCTCATTGCGAGTGTCGAATGCAAGTCGTTTTTCGAGAGTCGAATCGTATCGAAAATTTCACGTCATTGCCTAAAATTTCCACTCGACTAGTGTATTAAAACCGAAAAACTTGGCAGCACTGTATAGTTTTCGACGATTTTGGTCGTTTACTTATTTCAGTTCGACAATAGACAATGTGACTGTTGTCGAGTCGTACAACATAGTCAGATTTACGACCTACGCAATGTGGCTGATTGTTTGGGAACTACAAATGTGAGAAATTCGATTTTTGCCTTCTCCAACAGTGAAATTCAGAAGCAGAAAATCGAAGTAACAATTTAATAAATACGAATATCTTACCTTGAGCATGCTTTTGACGCAGTTTGTTCAAAATATTAGTGGCATCGAAGCCGGCGTTGTCGCACAGTTGACGTGGAATCACCTCCAGAGCTTTGGCAATGGCAGCAATCAGCAGCTGTTCCTTTCCAGCGATGGTTCGCGAATAGTCCCGGAGAATTTTCGAGAGCTCCATTTCGATGGCGCCACCACCTAAAAATTTAAGAACACTTTTAAAATGTATGTATGTATGTACATCAGCAATAATATGAATTTCAAATGAAAGGTTTTGTTTTTAAAGAGATCTTAACAAATCTTGACACTTATAATGTTCATAATCACGTGGCACATGCTCCAAATATATTTTAGCATCCTAAATTTTTAAAAGGCATTATTTTTTAGTCTCCAAAACGATTTCAACGTAACCGAACACATTGACGTTCTTAACTCTTTATTCTTAATTGTATTATCTTTTACACGCAAAAGTATTTTGTTATTTTTCTGACCTACATTCAGTCGACCAAAGCGATTTTTATTGTATGCACTTTCATATGTACCCCACAGTGGCTCACGAAACTGAGCACGCTTTATTTCGTTGCAAATTTTATTCTGAATTCTGTATTGTATATTGACATCCGTTGGCAGTGGAGTAGTAGATAATGGCAAGTAAATAAGAACAAGTTTTTGCAAGACTGAAGAATAGTCGCCTTGAATTATTGCCTTCGTAGATTCAATTGTGAAGTTTGTTCTTGACTGCGGAATGGAACAGAGAACTCAGCATACGACCGTGATGAGTTTTTTGACTCACTGTACATAAGCAAACGCACTGGCACTATATAGGCTTTCAGAGGGAGAGCGACAAGCGAATGTAGTCAGTGGCCAACTGACGCTAACATTTAAAAAAAAACGCACAGATATCTATAAAAATACTGGAGTATAATAATGTTGCTTATATATACATATGTATGTGCATAATTATTGGCAGATTGGATGCGGTGTAGATTGACACTTAAAAAAAAAAAAACAAAATAGAATTTAGTTTATGCAGCAAAAAATATGAAGCAACGAGATTTCGTGAGTACTATTCGGGCGGGGGTAACAAAGAAATAAGGTCAATAATAACTGAATTTGGTTAATTAAACCTATACTTTATTAATAATTAGCCCTATTTGCAATTGTATCGTAAGCGACGTTGTAACAACATAGTTTATATATATTGTCGCGTACATACATATCAGAATATTAATTTCTTGCGTAATAATTTAGCGTAAGCATTTGGTAGCAATATTTTGTATTCAAAGTAATACACCCCGCGACAAAAGATAGCACATCAACATTTTTTTACCAGTTTCCACTACTTTGCGTTTGCTTTTTTTTATTATTTTTATATAAAGGTATAGCATACCAAATGCTAAATAAATCTAAGTTTCAGACTTTGTACCAAAATTATAAAAATTTCACAAACTTTTCTTCACAATTCCAAGCATTTTAATTCTAGTTTCTATAATAATTTTGGGTATGCAGTTTTATAGCTTATCAAATTCTAGTATAATAAAGTGCAAGTTTGAGATCGCCTTGATTTTTCATATTTTCTTTTTGCTGACGGTACCACGCATTTTCTTCCATACAAAGCAATTTTTTATATGGAAAAGATTCCATACAAAGCAATTTTTTATATGGAAAAGAGCGCATAACACCGTCGCAAAAAAATTATCAAAAATCAGCGCGATTTTTTAGCAACTTAAACTTGCACTTATACTAGAATTTAATAAGCTATAAAACTGCATTACAAAAATTACCCTAAAAATTAAAATGCTTAGAATTGCGATGAAAAGTTTGTAGAATTTTCATAATTTTTGTACAAAGTCTGAAATTTAGATTTATGTGGTATTTGTTAGATAAAAAGCTATACTTTTATATAAAAATAACGAACCTTCAAAAATGCAAAAGTAAAGTAGTCAAAACTGGTAAAAATGTTGATGTGCTATCTTTTGTCGCGGAGTGTAAATATTAATAAAAAAAATGGGCTCTGATGTCCCAATTCAGTCACAACAGTCTGACCGCGTCTAATTAAAACTTTGGGAGCCTCCTTAAAAATGAATTGAATGGACTGACTTAGCGCCGAACTGCCGACTGAGGCGGCCAAATGGATAGTTGAGTCACCCAATCAAATGCAAATTAAATAAATGTCAATTATTAGTCATGTGCATTTGAATGAATTAAAATGAACAAATAATTTAAAAATAGAAAAATCAATTCGAAAACTTGCAGTAAACAATTTACATTTGTTTATTCGAATAAAACGTAAGTTGCATGCGAAATTATTATTCGAAAAGGAGGATAAAAAAGTCAAAGTTAAACGTTGCATTTTTTAATTGCAAGGCGAAGTGAGACACATACATACATATGTACATAATTATGTACTATACACATTCAACATCATTGGCTAGGTGTGTCTTGAAATCCAAACAATGATTACTGTCAACAAAAAAAATAAATAAATAAATAAAAATGGATGTTTGCAGTTGATTGCATTTGATTTGCTAGAGATGAGCGCGCAGTGTCAAAGCGATATGTAGGCTGAACCGCCCAAATTTTCGCATAGAACGTGTGGCCCATTTATAAACCGTGACAATGCCGCATTTAATGAAGTTGCAATACATCCTTGGCATTTACTGCCGGTTTCACCCGCAATTTGAGTGAAATATTTTTGTTTTCTAGTTTTCATAATAAGGCATATTCTTGTATTCGTACGAATCAGAAACTTGAAATTTTGTCATCACTTTTCTTTAAAAAAAATATATACATATCGTCGATGTCTTTGCAAAACCGCCTATCCATCGGCACCTAAATTTTACAGGAGAGCGAAAAACGGGCTTTATTTGAAGGCATTGCTTTGGTAGGCGGTATTTTCTCTAGCTATTATTTTACAAATCTGTTGTTTTATTAACGAGTTTACTATTTTTATGCATAAATCTCGATGTCTGGAGTTCAGGGTTACCAAACTTCATTTTTGTCACAACAGCGATTTTGGCCCTTTTTGCAGCTGTTCGATGGGCGGATTTGCAAAAACATCGACGATATGTATTAAAAAAAACCATACTTCGTATAAAAAAAAAATTACGCAATTCCAGAAACAAATTTGAGTAAAAGGGCTGCAATTTTAAGAAAAAGCAATTTCTTAGTTTTTATTCATAAAGGCCAATAATATGATAAAATATTAACAATTTTTGTTTCGAACATAAAACAACACATTCAAGCTTTCGAATGTCGCTTTTTTAAATAAAAAAAAAAGGTTGTAAGTATCTCAATCAACAGTTTTGCAATTCTATTTAAGTTTTATTATTGTTTTCAACATTTTTACCTCACCCAGTCTTTCTAAGCTAAGTGTTATTGAAATCGATCGTTTCAAAGACGCTTGGCCATTGCACTCACCGAAGCACAGTTGCATTGCAATAGCTTCTTAGAACGCGATAGTAGAAAAAATATAATATATACTTACATAGTTATAATAAAAATGCATACATATGCATGTGCATACGTACATATGTATGTATGTAAGTAATTTGTCGCGCATTGAGATAAGTTAAAGCCAAGTAGGTAAACACATTCCATTGTTAGTTTGCCGAGTCGATTTCGCTGCGATGTGTTGTTGTAGACGTCAGCGGAATAGTTGTTGGTGTTGGGAAACTTGCTAACAACGTAAATAACTGCTTTGAGAACAAAGTAGCCATTATTAGAAAAAAATGCAATAAAAACCAGAAAAGCAATGCTACCAACAATAGACAAAGCCAGTGTGCCAGTGTGCCCAGCAGGTAAAAAATTATATTTACATAAAAGAATTTTTTTTTTAACGTATCAGTCTCCAAACACTTTAAACGCGGATGGGCAGAGGCCCGAAAATATGTTTTGGTAATATAGCAGAAGAAGTAAATATTAGCAAACATTTCTATAATTTAGACATATTTTCAAAGTTTAGTTTCTCTCAATTTTTTCTGACATCTACTTAACGTTTTAGCAATAAATCTTTTTTTTTTTTCTGAAATACCAGGTATTTCCTGCAGGTACTGTGAACTTTAAAAACGTTGCCGCGGCGACGGTATGTAGGTACATACAGGCCGCGAAACAGACTAAACCAGGCATTCGACAAAGAGACAAGTCAGCAGCAATGTTGCTTTCCATTATTAAATATGTACATACATACATATATACATACAAACATAAATATGTATATACATAAATACGCACAATGTTTTTTTTTTTTTTACATTCATGCGTAAGTGCATGAATAAATATACTATTTGTACGTATGTACATACTATGTACACTCATGCGATCGCTCGGAGGGTCAATAAACTTGCCATGGACACAGAAACTGCATTTTGCACAACAATATTCCCAACAAACATCAAAGTAAACACGTTTATTGCTCAGTGTTCCGCACACTTGTTTCTGTTTGGTTTTCAACACTTTTTAAACTACTAAGTAGTTTGCAAACCTAACAGTTTTTTTTTTACAATTTTTTGAATGGAGAGCCGCCCCAGCCTAGAGGTTATTGGCGAAGGGAGAAACTCGCGTAGCGATTGTGAGAATTCCCCTGCTGGATACAGCAGACGAGTAAACTCGGCTTCATCTAGTTTCGACCCCGACATACTTAATATATATATGTCCAGCTTGAGAAAGTTCCCCCGATAGCACCGACCATCTGTTCCCCTGTCCACTTTAACCCACTCAGCTAACAGCCCTCTCTCATTAGTCCGACCATGTCGAAACAGCACGTTTCTTGGGCCAAACGCAACAACAACAATGGTTAGAGTATCGACCCAGGTTCAAGCTCTTCCAGACCGAGCAACATAGAATTTTCCAATAGCGATTGTCCCTCGACAGGCAACGATAAACTTCCGAATGGATTTGTGGCATGAAAAAGGTTGTGTCGAAAAACCTTCAACCGTTCGTAGGTGCCGAAAACTGTAGGCCCCTCTATTTGGTTGGAAACTCTGCCCGAGTTTTAAAATTTTGGTGTTAAGTGCAATGCCGCTATAGGCGGATAGATAAAGATACATACATGCGTATTACCGTTGGAATCATGTTCGATTCTTGATACTTCAAGCATCAACGAAAAATAAAAATGTGTAACATAAAAAGCATAGCAAAAAGTACGGTACACGCGACGGAGTTTTTCAATCTACCGTTGCTTTTTCCAATTTGGTTTA